TTATCCCTTAGTAGGTTCTCAATAACTTTATTGAAGAAATTAATTGATGGATTGATTGTTCCATTCATTCATTCATTAATCTGTTCAACAAATATATATTTAGAGCTTACTATGTGTCGGACACTGTGCTCATTGGAAAAATGGGAGAACAAGAAGGACAAAGATCACTGCTCTCACAGAGCTTACATTTTAATGGGGGAGACAGCAATCATAAATAAATAAGTATTTAAAACATAGAGTACTGAAATAGAAATAAGTGCTAAGGAGCTAAAAAGCAGGAAGATGCATGGGCAGGTGGGGGAGGGGAGTGGGTGATTTCAGATAAAGAACTAGGGAGGCCACTGAAGGTCAGGTTACATCTGAGTGAAGACCTGCAGGAGGAGAAGGTGAACCGTGCTGATATCTGGGGAGGATGAGGAGCAGAAAACCCATTGCCACATGATGAGCAAAACCAATGACCCTGAGAAAGCGCAGTCTGTGATGTGATCAGATTGAAATACAGACAGGTACTTTTGGTGGTCTTTGCTTTTTCTTTCATTGGATTAGAATTTTTTTTGAGATGGAGTTTCACTCTTGTCGCCCAGGCTATAGTGCAGTGGCGGGATCTTGGCTCACTGCAACCTCCACCTCCCAGGTCCAAGCAATTCTCCTGCCTCAGCCTCCCGTGTAGCTGGGATTACAGGCTTATGCCACCACACCTGGCTAATTTTTTGTATTTTTAGTAGAGATGGGGTTTTTCCATGTTGGCCAGTCTGGTCTCATACTCCTGACCTCAGGTGGTCTACCTGCCTCAGTCTCCCAAAGTGCTGAGATTATAGGCATGAGCCACTGTGCTCGGCCTAGGGGTGTGTGTGTGTGTGTGTGTGCACGCATGCGTGTGCATTTTCAATGAATAAATTACTTCGTCTCCCTTGTCAGTGCTTTTGGCAATCATCACACTTTTCCCTCCATCTCATTCATTACAGGAGGATGAATATCCCTGGCACCGTTGTGTCCGACTACTAAACTTATGGTATTTATGATTTGTTTAGGGCAGCAAATAAAAACAAATGTGACATTTACTTTCCTGGTGTTCTGCATTTTCCCCAGCAAGTCAGTCATGATGGTTAATTAACTTCGGGCTACATTAATGTACTGAACCAAGTACAGCTGTTCCAAATAAGTCCGCATTGAAATGACCCAATAATAACTGTTTACTGTCATGTTTCCAGAAGCACAGTTGCCCTGGGCAATTTTGTTCACTCACAAACTCTGTTGCCTATAGCAATAAATGTCTAGATTTAGGCTGATAGGAACCTGTGAGGAGTGATCAATTTTTAGAGGATTTCAAGATTGAAAAACAGTTCTGTCCTCTAGCAGCTTATGTGCCTGTCACTTCTTGTGCCTCTCTCTTTTTTTTTTTTTGAGATGGAGTCCCGCTCTGTTGTCCAGGCTGGAGTGTGGTGGCACGATCTTTGCTCACTATAACTTCTGCCTCCGAGGTTCAAGCAATTCTCCTGCCTCAGCCTCCTGAGTAGCTGGGACTACAGGTGTGTGCCACCCTGCCAGGCTAATTTTTGTATTTTTAGTAGAGACTGGGTTTTGCCATGTTGGTCAGGCTGGTCTCAAACTCCTGATCTCAAATGATCCACCTGCCTCAGCCTCCTAAAGTACTGGGATTACAGGCGTGAGCCAACCATGCCCGGCCCTGAGGTAGCATTCTTAATAATGAGGTTCACATGGCAAAGCAGCCCAATGCTTTTTAGCTCTTCCCTGCTTTTTAGCTCCTTACAATTTAGCCCTGTTTCATGGGCCGCTGTTACACGTGAAGAATGCTGCTGTGTGGAGCCCCCTTCCGTGTATTACATGTCCTTCAGGAGGGGCATCTTTGAAAGGAGTGGCCAGCCTATTCCCAGTAACCCAGGTGTATGGGTGCCCGGCCAGGCCAGCCAGCCCGCCTCCCTTCTTATTCACCCATGACCTTCAATAGTTTGGTTAAATTACCCACCAGAGGAAAGTATTGTCTGCATGGTAAAACGGAAAAAACAAGTCAGTAAAATTCACATACTTATATAAAACGAGTTCTAATTACGGCTTCCTTGTTTATTTGGGTGAGTCATTTCACCTCTCTGAGCTATAGTTTCCTCATTTGTTAACATGGGAAGAATAATCATGCCAATCTCATAGGGCTGTGGTATCAAATAAATAAAGCATCTCACATGATGCCTACCATGGCAAGAAACCATGGCCACTATATTTGAGTTATTTCGGAGATCAAATTAGATCATAGCTGGGGAAGTACTTTGTCCTTTGTAAAGAATCACCACCACTATCACCACCACCACCACCACTATCACCATCACCATCATTACCACCACCACCACCACCAATTACCACCATCATCATTACCATTACCACCACTACCATCATTACCACCACCACCATTACCACCACTACCATCATTACCACCACCATCATTATTACCATCACCACCATTACCACCACTACCATCATTACCACCACCATCATTATTACCATCACCACCATTACCACCACTACCATCATTACCACCACCATCATTACCATTACCACCATTACCACCACTACCATCATTACCCACCACCACCAATTACCACCACAACCATTACCACCACTACCATCATTACCACCATGACCAATTACCACCATCACCACCATCACTACCACCATCATTACCACCATTACCATCATTACCACCACCATCATTACCATTACCACCATTACCACCACTAGCATCATTACCACCACCTTCATTACCATTACCACCATTACCACCACTACCATCATTACCACCATCATTACCATTACCACCATTACCACCACTACCATCATTACCACCATCATCATTACCATTACCACCATTACCACCACTACCATCATTACCACCATCATCATTACCATTACCACCATTACCACCACTACCATCATTACCACCACCATCATTACCATTACCACCATTATCACCACTACCATCATTACCACCACCATCATTACCATTACCACCATTATCACCACTACCATCATTACCACCACCTTCATTACCATTACCACCATTATCACCACTACCATCATTACCACCACCTTCATTACCATTACCACCATTACCACCACTACCATCATTACCACCACCTTCATTACCATTACCACCATTACCACCACTACCATCATTACCACCACCTTCATTACCATTACCACCATTACCACCACTACCATCATTACCACCATGACCAATTACCACCATCACCACCATCACTACCACCATCATTACCACCATTACCATCATTACCACCACCATCATTACCACCACCATCATTACCACCACTACCATCATTACCACCATCATTACCACCACCACGAATTACCACCATCACCACCGTCACTACCCTCATCATTACCACCACTACCATCATTACCACCACCATCATTACCACCACCATCATTACCACCACCAAGAATTAACCATCACCACCACTATCATTACTACCACCACCATCACTACCACCATTACCACCATCATCACTACCACCACCACCACTATCACTACCACCACTACCACCATTAATTACCACCACCACCATCACTACCACTATCACCACCATCAATTACCACCACCACAACCATCATTACCACCATCACCAATTACCACCACCACCACTACCATCACCACCATCATGATTACCACCAGCATCACCACCACCACCACCACCACCATTACCACCACCAGCATCAATTACCACCACCACTAATATTATCACCATCATCACCATCACTATCACCACCCTACTATCATCCCTGTCTTTTACACACTTATAAACCTCTCTTCACCTGAACACATTGCTGAATATACCAATGACGTTTAATTTCTATTATTTCATGATGATGCAGTCTGCTCTGGTGAAGGCCATGAGACTAAAATCAGAAGCCTTATGTTCTAGGCACCACTAAATCTTTATGTGACCTTAGAGAAGTCACTTAAACCCTCTGAGTCTTATTTGCCTCTTTGCAAAATGGAGAAGTTGGAGCCCCAAATTTTCATAATGCTCAAAATTTTACAATCTGGTGTAAAGTGAAGGCAAAACGGGCACTGTGAGTATCGATTTCTGTGAAATGAGAGGTCTGGAAAATTTCAGCTTCAGCCTCAGCTTTCTTGTTCTCCCTAAATTCAGCCTCACTGTAGCCAATTCATCTTCTCAGAAAGGCCAGAAGAACTTCCTTAAATGAAAACTCGATGACATGACTTGGTCACTTAACAACTGTCAGCGGCTTCCCATTGTCTTAAGAATAGAATCTAAACTCTATGGCATGACATACTAAGGGCAGCTTGAGACCATGAAACACTGAAAGAACATATATGTCCCCTATTGAGCACAGAAGTAAATGCAAACTGTGATACTTCAACAGAATACTATTCGCAAGTTAAAATAGTGTTGTAAAGACTAAGTAATAGCATGGAAAGTACTTACAATGAAATAAGTTAAAGAATGCAAGCAAAATATTTTATATATAGTATAATTATAGCTATGCTAAATAAGACAAAACAGTTTATTTTTAAAAAAAAAATATAGTTTTTCAAAACCCCAAACATAAATAGTAGTTGATTTGAGCAGTTTTTTCCTCCTTTGTAACTCTACTGTTTTGTAATACTTTTTGTTTAATGAGTGCCATTATTAAAAAATTTTTAAATATTCAATGCTTTTTAAAAAATTCCGAAAGTAAATTATGTTCATTTTAGAAACTTCAAAAAATTCAGCTAAGAAAAAACCCCTAAAACTACATGTATTCCTTGTTTCTCAGACATAACCACTGTTAAATCCTCTTACAGATTCTTCTTCTTCTATATTTCTGTATCCATGCAAATCTAAAACATTATACAAATTCTGGCACTCAGAGTGGCTCTGTCCAGATGAGCATGCCCTTAGAGGGTTCCCATTTCCTGAAGCTCACCTGGCCTGGGTGTTATGTCTCACGTAAGGGTTACTCACTTTTTCTACCGTGGTGGCAGCTCTCATTCCTACTTCCTGGATTCATGGATGGAAGGTGCTTCTGGGTCTAGGAGATAAGAAATGTATGTTTCCTTCCTTCCTTCCTTCCTTCCTTCCTTCCTTCCTTCCTTCCTTCCTTCCTCCCTCCCTCCCTCCCTCCTTCCTTCCCTCCTCCCTCTCTCTCTCTCTTTCTCTTTTTCTGCCAAGGCTGGAGCACAATGGCGCGATCTTGGCTCACTACAATCTCTGCCTCCTGGGTCCAAGCGATTCTTCTGCCTCAGCCACCCGAGTAGCTGGGATTACAGGTGCATGCCACCACACCCAGCTAATTTTTGTATTTTTAGCAGAGATGGGGTTTCACTGTGTTGACCAGGCTGGTCTTGAACTCCTGGCATCAAGTGATCCACCCACCTTGGCCTCCCAAAGTGCTGGGATTACAGGTGTGAGCTGCTGCACCCTGCCAAGGAGAGAAAAATGTTTTCTAAGTGAGGTTCAGTTGCTTTCTTCTTCTCATTTTACTCTTAATGCACAGAAAGCAAACTTTTGAACTCCCAATACGATTTAATAACAGAGGCATTAGTCATGGATATTTAATCATTCCTAATGGTGAACTTGTAAAACTCTCTGGCCACTTTCATGAACACCGTTTCTTAGAGTTTCTGAAAAGGTGGCACCCCACTGTTCCCATGACTGGAGGAAATAAAAACTGAAAGTAGGATGAGGCTCTTCTGTGGACCTGGCCCACAGCTGGGTAACTGGTGATATGAATGGCAAATTTTCTCATTTATGCTCACAAAGATAGTTTCACCAAGATTGGAAACTGGTAGGGAGACTTGTGTAGAAATTCAGCCCACTCACCAAGACTCATCCTACCGGGAACCAGGCTTTGGGGCTTGCCCAAGCAAACTGAAACAAGTGTACTCATGGTGACTCTATATAGTAGATGCGCCAGGTGCCAGGGTACAGTGGCTACCGAGACAGCAAGATCCCTTCTGGTGGTGGAAATGCCCCCTTCTCTCAAAATAAGAGTAAATCCAAGACTCAGTTCTGGGATGAGCAACAGGAAGGGTTTTCCTGGAAGAGGCTATGACACATGCAAAGATGGAGACAACCTGGGTATGTCCAGGGGACAGAAGCAAGACCAGGGCATCTTCAGAGCAGTGAAGGGAAGTGGCAGAGGATGAGGTGGAATTCTCAGGGGATTTAAGACCATGGTGAACTGTGGGGATGTCACTGTCAGGGCAGTGGAGAGTTGCAGAAGGAGTTTAAGCAGATCAGAGACCCAAGGCTGGACTCGGGCAACTGTGGCCTCTCTTTCACTCCCCTCCAGGTACCCACCTCACCCCTGCCCCCTGTGTTCTTAGCTGCCCTCAAATCCTAGATTTTTTTTCTTTGAGATGGACTTTCACTCTGTCACTGGGGCTGCAGTGCAGTGGTAGGATCTCGGCTCACTGCAGCCTCTGCCTCCCGGATTCAAGTGATTCTCCTTCCTCAGCCTCCCAAGTAGCTGGGACTACAGGTGCGCGTCAACATGCCTGGCTAATTTTTATTTATTATTTATTTTTTGGTAGAGATGGGGTTTCACCATGTTGGCCAGGCTGGTCTTGAACTCCTGACCTCAAATGATCTGCCCACTTCAGCCTCCCAAAGTGCTGGGATTACAGGAGTGAGCTACCGCGCCCGGCACTCAGAGCCTAGATTTTTAAAGTGACTTTCAATCTTAAGAGGCAAACAACAGAAGACACCTTCAGGATTCTGCACTGCAAAGGCAGTCAAAGCCTCAGCAATGAGGGCTGATTACCTGACTACAGAATTATAGGTGTTGGCCATGGAAGCAGGAGAGAAGTGGTGGAACGTTCTTTAATTATGGGCTGTTCTCCAAGTTCATCACATACCTCACGAAGGGTTCAGATTAGTCTCGAAGGAAGCTGAGAAAGCACCTGTTGCCAGTGTTCCTGATGGTGGAACAGCAGAACCATCACCATATAGAGGACAGGATTAGAATCCTAGGGGCTTAACAACAGAAAGGAGCCTTGAGTTCCTCTGAGCCACAGCCCACCCATCACCCAGGCTCTTCTGAAGGACAGGCTAAAATAATGATTTCACTTCTGTCAGGTTTTCATAACTGGCATCTCATAATGTTTTTCATCTGAGGAACGACTGGGGAAAGAGCCAGTGGGGTCTAGGTTATCCACAAATTAGACACCTAATCTTGATGTCATCAGAAGCGGTGTTTCGTTTTCATGAGAAATGAACGTAACCCTTGAATGACGACTGAGCTGACAGCCACAGCATTATCTCCCGCCTTCTCTTATCATGCAGGGCTTTAGGGTATTTTTCTAACACATCTTTGTGTCCTCTGAAATCTTACCAGGCAGCTGCTGCAATACATGTTTTGAATTTTGGAAGTTTTAATGCAATAAAGCAATCACCTGTTGCCTGAAGACAGGGTCAAATATTTTCAGGTGGCTCTCAGATGCCCCAAGAAATTTCTTCTCTCTTCTACCCTTCTTCCTCCCCACCAAATCACATGCCCCCACCCACACCAACACATACGTCTTATTCTCCCTTCAGAACCCCAGTCTCAGCTTGGCACCATGGACTCCTTGTCACCGGTGTCAGCAGTTCACTCTGGTTAGCCCATTTCCTGCCCCGGCCTGTATAAGGCTAGCACAGTGATTGTTCCATCTGCTCTGCAGAAAGGCAAATGTCACCCTCTGATGTTTACTTGCTTTGAAGTCTCTTGGCCATGGCATGTGGGGAAACTTACCTGCTCTATGAGACTCCTCCTCACCCCTGTTGTGGGCACACAGGCCCTTCTAGTTGCAATTGCTCATTTCTATCCTCTTCCTTCTGTTTCCTATCCTTTCGGTGGTAGGACTTCTTATCATTTACTAACAAAAATAGCAACAACACTTACCAGGGACTTATTATGAGTCAGATGCTCTTCTAAGCACATTTGGATCTCTTAGCTCATTTAACCGTCGCAACAAGCATCCGAGGTCGATGCAATCATAGACCCTACTGATAAACAAGAAAAGCAAGACACCGAGAGAGGCTAAAGTCACCTGTCCAAGGTCACCAAGGTACTAAGTGGCAAAATCAGCGCTCTTAACCACCATGGGTCTTTTCTGCCTCTGAATTTCTTCTTTTCCATTAATCTCCCAGACCAAATTCAACCAGCTCTCCCTACTCTGTGCCAAGGACCTTGCCAGATACTTGGGATTCAAGGATGAATACATTGAACCCTTGCCTGCAGTCTAATTGAGATGAGCAGGCATGTGGCAGACTACAGTGTGCTGGGTGGGGAGGCTGGCCAGGGTGCCACAGGAGGGGGAGGTCCTGCCTTTGAAGGGCAAGTTGGAGCCTGTGATACCTTATCTGAAACATTTACGTGGGAGTATGTGACAGTGCTCGAAACCATTTAAGCTTCTCTTCCACTGCAAGATGGTATTTTGTTTGCTTCCTGCTGTCTGTCTTCAGCTTTTGAAACCTCAATTATCTTTCCCTTTTACTCCAGAAGAAGAGTTTTTGAGCTTAGCTGTGCATCAAAATCACCCATGTGGCAGCGGCTGGCTGGTTTTCCTGCTGGCTCTGCAGTTGATCAGTTTCTCAGTCCCTTACACTCAGAGGTGGCATGTGCCTGCGGCTGGCCGATGGAGTGAGGATGGAAGTGAGGCCGCTCACCCTCAAGCCTGGCCCATAACACCTCTCTTGAATCCTTCTTCCCTTCCTTCCTCTCCCAGACAGATTTGAGCATCCAGTGGAGGACTCGGTGGGGATTCCAATGTGCATCCCAGTTTGAGAATCACTGACCCCACACATTTGATTGAACCACTGCTCGCTACCTTTGCTACAGCAGGTTCAGCTGGCTGAACCTGATGTTTCTTGAGTGGCTTACAAATGCAGACTGCTATCTTCATCCCTTAACTTTGCTCAGAGGAAACACTCACTCTGCCAGTGTGGCCTATTGTCTGTGCTTGTGAGCAGATAAGAAAGATGGGTGTCAACAGGGCCCTAACACACACTGGAGCCACGGGACAAAAAGTATTTTCCTTTCCCTTAGGAATGAAGTCACGCCATCCTCTATGAGGGCAGAGACATTGAGAGTGACTCGAATACTTTCTTTGAACCTGTGAAGTTTGCTTTCAATAATAATAGTTATTATTTTGAATTCAATAAACATAAATCCATACATATACATATGAATATAATAATATTGGATCATCTAATATGTGCCAACTACTATGCTAAACAGAGCAGCTCATGTAATCCTTATAGCAGCTGTAGGAGGCAGGCGTTATTGGGATTATCCTGTTATGCGAATGAAAGGAAGGCTCAGAGATGTCTAATTATTACTCAGGATCGCACGACGAGGAGCAGGAGAGCCAGATCTGAAAGCCCAGGCCCATAGGACTACCCGCTGTGTAGGTAACCTTTGCATAACCGCCTGGGCCCCCAGACCCCTCACCCTGCCACCTTCTTGTCACGCCTTCTCTCTCTGTGGCCTTTTTCAATCCAGATTGCGGTGTGCTGGAATTCCACCCTCCTTGCCCAAAACTCACCACGCTTTCTGTAATTAAAATTTAGTCCATTTGAACAAAGCCCGGAACTTGACGATTCTGCCTAGCTTTCTCTGTCACCATGGCAACCAGATTCTTGGCTGAAACTGGATCCCTGGAGGTAAGAAAATGCAAGAAAAAAACAATGTATAGAGAAGACTTAGAGCTGGGAAGCGGTTTCCTCTTCCCAGTGAGTGACATCCACTGTTGCCTAGGTCCTCGCCTGCCTCACCCTCCCTGACTCAAGGCCATTTTAGCTACTAAGTACCATCAGGAGCCTACCAAGACGCTTAAGTTCTCCCCCCAAAAATAGGGAACTCAAAGTAGAAAGGGAATTGCAGAACTGAAATTAAAGGTTAGATCAAATGCCTACAAAAATTACATGCTGATTTTGTGAATAAATTGGGAATTCATAAAACTTCATTATGCTTAAAAACAATAAGGCTTGCTTTTCTTACCTTGAAAACATTTTCTGGCTTGCATACTGATGTAAGAAAGCACAGCCAATTGTACATTGAATGTATTCCTGGTAGGCGAATTATTTTAAAAGTAGAATTATAAAAGCATGATTTTTTTATAGTCAGAATGCTAACAAATAAAACTTGCTCACATTGGCCCAATACGTAACACAAAAGATGTGTAGGGTTTTTCCTTTGCTTGTTTATTGTTTTTTTTTTTTTTTTTCAGACAGGGTCTCTCTCTGTTGCCCAGGATGGAGTGCAGTGGCACAATCATAGCTCACTGCAAACCTCTAACTCCCAGGCTCAGGTGATCCTCCTACCTCAGCCTCTCACTTCAGCCTCATGAGTAGCTGAAATTATAGGCTCATACCACCACACCTGGCTAGTGGTTTTTTAAAAGAAAAATTTCTTTAAGAGGTGGCCTCGGCTGGGCGCAGTGGCTCAAGCCTGTAATCCCAGCACTTTGGGAGGCCGAGGCGGGTGGATCATGAGGTCAAGAGATCGAGACCATCCTGGTCAATATGGTGAAACCCCGTCTCTACTAAAAATACAAAAAATTAGTTGGGCATGGTGGCGTGTGCCTGTAATCCCAGCTACTCAGGAGGCTGAGGCAGGAGAATTGCCTGAACCCAGGAGGCGGAGGTTGCAGTGAGCCGAGATTGCGCCATTGCACTCCAGCCTGGGTAACAAGAGCGAAACTCCGTCTCAAAAAAAAAAAAAGAAAAGAAAAAAAGAGGTGGCCTCAAGCAATCCTCCCACCTCAGCCCAAAGTGCTGGGATTACAAGGTATGAGCCACTGTGCCCAGCCCTGGATGCTTTTTAATATGTTTGCTGATGTGGAGTGGAGCCTCCAAAGGAATGCCTGAAATCACTTGGAATCATACAAATCCCCTTCACAAACCCTGAGAGCTCAGTGCAGGCAAGAAACATAGATGGGGTGAGAGAGCGAAAGGGTGGCCCCTGGTGAGCTGGGAGGCTCAAGAGAGGAAGTGGCCTCCTGAAATGAAATGGAAACATTTACCCAGCCAGCCTATCTCAGGGAGAGTGACTGTTTGAATGTGTCCAATAGATTCCAGCTGCCCTGGCTGGAAACAAGCCAAGAAAAGCCTGCTTCCCATTTTCCCTTTGCTCTAGGGGACTGGGAGGCCTTTATTTTTATGGGGTTGTGGGGAATGAGAGGGGCTGCCACCATCCAGTGTTATTTTCTCCCCTTCAGCCATGTGAGCAATGCGCCTTTTTTATCATTCAGCCCAAAGAACTCACTTGACTCACGTGCATTGCAAATCCACATCTATTTTCTTAACCAAGTCCTGGGCTAGAGGGAGAACCAAGCAGTTGTCTCCCCAACATCAGGGCTGGCTCAGGGAGAGCTCTGTGGATCTGTGGCTCTGTGGCTCTGTGATAAAACTCAAATGCAGAAGTTAATTAACCAAGCCCAGAACCTCCTAGGAAGGCAGGCGGTGTGCAGTGAGCTCTGGGGCCTAACACCCAGCCTCGATGTGTCACTCAGAGTGCCGGGGCCTGGCTTTCTCACCTGCGAGGGGGATAACCGCTCCTGACTCTCTCCTGGTTTTTCTACAGGAAAGAAAAAAAACAATGATTCCTGTCACTTTTTCCCATCAGAGAAATTGTAGGCTAGAATTGGATATGAAATTGCCTCAGGAGGTTTAAAGCTTTCTACACAAAGTGTGGCCCTCAGGCCAGCAGCCTCATTTGAGAGCTGGTTCAAAGACAGACTAGACCCTCAGGCCTGCCGCAGACCTACTGAATCAGAGCCTGCATTTCTACGCAAATTAAGGACTGAGAAGCATTGATATACATATATTTTTTTGAGGCAGACTCTAGCTCTGTCACCAGGCTGGAGTGCAATGGCACCATTTCAGGTCACTGCAACCTTCGCCTCCTGTGTTCAAGTGATTCTCCTGCCTCAGCCTCCCAAGTAGCTGGGATTACAGGCACCTACCACCACGCCTGGCTAACTCTTGTATTTTTAGTAGAGACGGGGTTTCACCACGTTGGCCAGGATGGTCTCGATCTCTTGACTTTGTGATCTGCCTGTATCGGCCTCCCAAGAAGCACTGAGTTTTAAAAAGCTGCAAAGCATCTCTTGTAAGGAATTGGTAGGTAATGATTCATTGAATGTCTGTCTTCTCTGTTAGCTCTACGAGGTCAGGCCCCGATCTGGCTTGTTCCCCACTGTACGCCACCTTTTGTTTCGATGTCTGGCATACAGTAGGCACTCAATATTTGTTGAATTAATGAATAAACGTTATATCCTTTGTGACTGACCCCAGAGGGTGGTAAGAATAGACAGGATTCTAAACTTACACTCTGGTGAGAGGTGCCAAGCCACCTGCATTTGACATCTGGTTCAATGCCCTGTGCAGTGGCGCAGTGGTTCTCAAGTTTGACTGTGCACCTGGAGCCTTGTTAAAAAGCAGATGGCTGGGCCCCACCCTTAGAGCCTTGGATTCAGTAGGTCTGGGATTGGCAGGAACCTCTGCATTTCTAACAAGTTCTGGCGGATGCTGCTGCTGTGCTGCTGCTGTCCAGGGCCCCCACCTGGAGAAGACATAACCTGGTACATTGATGATACCTGAATAAATGTCTTCATATTTTAATTGCGGAACACGAGGATTCACAGTAACAAAAATATCAAATTGGCAGGAAAAAGCATTTTTCAGACCAAGGAATATGACTGCTATTTCAGGCCCTGGCGTGCTTTTCAGGTGTCTGGGGCAGCCTGAGATAGGGCAAGGATAGTGGTACCAAGGGCTAGAGGATGGGATGGTGCCGGTGGCCACAGATTATAATATGGGGCCCAGTGGTGTGGCTCCAGGGTCGCACCTGGCTGTATATCAGGGCCAAGCCTAAGTCCTACAGGCTACGGTTTTCCTTCCCTTGCCCAGGCTCCTGAAGCACCAGGGGTGGGACTCAGGTGGCTGCACTAAGAAGCCAGCCGGGCAGTCTTGGGTTATTTACTACCAAACAGTAACAGCGATCGCCACCCATCTCCTGCGTGCCAGGGCTGGAGCTAAGTACTTTACAGATATTATCTCATCAAATTGTCACAGTAGCCCATGAGGTAAGTATACTAGTTTCCTATTTGCTGCTGTAACAATTACCATGCAGTAGCTTAAAATAACACAAATGTATGACTACAGTGCTGAATGCTGGAAGCCTGACACAGGTCCCACTGGGCTAAAATTAGGGTGTCAGCAGGGCTGAAGGCTCTCTAGTGGAGATTCCATTTTTGTGCTGTTTCTAGCTTCTAGAGGCCGGCTCTGTCCCCTGGTTCACGGCGTCCTCCTCCATCTCCCAAGCCAGCAACGTCGCATCTCTGCCTGCCTCCCACTTCCACTCTTAAGGACTCTTTGGTCTCATTGGGCCCACCTGAATTATCCAGATTAATCTATTTTTAGATCAGATTAATGTCCTTAATTCCATCTGCAGTTTTAGTTGCCCTTCGCCATGGTACCTAACATATTTACAAGTTCCAGGGATGAACATGTGAACATCTTTAGGGGGCCATTATTCTGCCAACCACAGTGAGAGCTCCTGTGCTCCACCATTCTGGAGATGAGAACATTTAGGCTTAGAGAAAGTAGGCATGTTCCTAAAGTCACACAGCTAGAAGTGGCTCTCTTAGCCGGGGTCTTAGCCCAAAGCAGAACGTAACACAGAAACGTTCAGGCGAGTCCTTTATTGGGGAGTGTCATCTAGTGAGCAGGAGAGATGGGGAGCAAAGCAGGGAAGGAGAGGGAGGTACAAAGATGTTGCATCCAGCTGCTCATTGCCTGTGGATAGAGTGAGAAAGGGAAACCTATCAGCGTGTGCTGCCTCCTATTCCAGGCTGCACCTGCTAGGCACTAAGCAGGTTCCCGCTCCCTCCTTGACTGTCTCCGAAGCCCAGGTGAGGTGCTCTTAGGTTGCATCTAGGTTTAGTGGGATTGGCCCCCACTCGGTACTGGTCACTAGCCACCTGGAAGAGGCTGAAATAAGAGGCAGATGAGGCTGAGAGACTGAATGGTGGCATAAGGGTGGCATAAAGCCAGATACCTCTCTCTGACCCTGGACATCCGACTCCAGCCACCGTGTCTAGCCCCATCACCACAACCAACATGCACCCCCCTGGGGTAATAGAAGTGCCACTCAGTTGGGAACCCTGACCTGCCTGAGAGGGGCAGCTCTGCTCCTGACGTCACTCTTGGCACTCAGGAAAGTAACCCCTTTCGGGAACATTCTAGCGTGTGAAAGCCCCTCATTCAGACATGTGCACTGGAGTCTTTCCCAAGCCCATTCCCCACCCCCACCCATGGAGGCCCAGCCCAGTGGGTAGTGGCTGCAGCAGGGTGGGGAGCCTGCCCTGTCTGAGTGTTCCTCTCAGTCAAACCACACCTATTGCTTCATAAATAGGCCCAATCATTTTTTAAAAAGTTTTTAATGTTGTGGGTACACAGTAGGTATGTATATTTATGGGGTACATGAGACATTTTGATACAATCATGAAATGTGTAACAATCATATCCTGGAAATTGGGGCATCCATCCCCTCAAGATTTTTTGTGTTACAAACAATCCAATTATTCTCTTTTAGTTATGTTTAAATGTACAATCAAAGTATTGCTGACTATACTCACCCTGTTGTGCTATCAAGTACTTGGTCTTATTCATTTTTTTCTATTTTATTTTGTACCTGTTAACCATCCCCACCTTTCCCCCCATCCCCACTATCCTTCCCAGGCTCTGGTGCACCCTTCTACTCTCTATTGCCATGAGTTCAATTGTTTTGATGTTTAGCTCCCACAGATTAGTGAGAATGTGTGATGTTTGTCTTTCTGTGCTTGGCTTATTTCACTTAACATAATAGCCTCCAGTTCCATTCATGTAGTTGCAAATGGCAGGATCTCATTCTTTTTTATGGCTAAATAGCATTCAGTTTTGTGTACGCACCACATTTTCTTTATCTGCTCATTTGCTGATGGGCTCCTAAGTTGCTTCCTAATCTCGGCTACTGTAACTAGTGCTGCAACAAACATGAGCGTGCAGAGACCTCTTCAGTCTACTGATTTCCTTTCTTGTGGGGATATACCCAGTAGTAGGATGGCTGGATGGCAGCTCTATTTTCAGTTTGGCCCGTTGAAGGGCAATGTGGTGACAATGAGCAAAAGCCATTGAAAACGTAAACCTCTTTAGCTTTTCTGGGCATTTGTCTTGTAGAAATAATAAAAGCATATACACAAAAACAAGGTTGTTCTTCTCAGTCTTGTTCATAACAGGGGTATGTCAGGAACAACTTAAAACCCATCAGCTGGCAGACACTGTGTTGTAGGTTACATACACTCAGGGAGACGTGTTTACAGTTCATCGTTTTGTGCAAATGTTCCTCTTTTTGCCCTCTTCTTGCTGGTATGAATTTCCGAGATTTGTTCAAGGAATGGATTTCCATCGTCACTAAGTCCTATTGATTTTGCCTCCAGATTCCTGACTGTAACCCACGGGGCCCGAGCCTCTGGGCCCTCCCTTCCTCTTCAGCCCATGTGATGCCTCTCTCTGCCCCAGCTCAGAGACTAAGATGTTCCTTCCCTACTCAAGACCCTCACACAGGGCCCAGCATCAGCTTGAAAAGTCCTTCCTCCCCGACGTGGGTCCTGTGAACATCCTCCCATTCTGTAGGTCACGTCTGTGCAGTCACCTCCTCAGGGAGCTCCTTCCAGGCCTTGAGTCGAGAGTCGCCCCTTCTTACTCTGTGTAGTGTCCCCATTCTGTTAGTCACCACCTGCCATTATAAACCACAGTAGGGGAGGTGGAGGGGTTCAGTGAGGTTTTAGCTCAGAGGAACATTCCAGTTGGTTCTGTTCGATTCCACCTATAACCCCATAACTCCATCTCCAGAGCTGCTCAAGTCCCCGGCCCTCAGTTCAGAGGGACTTACAAGTGCCTAGGACTCACGGTGAGGCAGGGAGCGGTGTACATGCTGTGCCTGTGGGGTGGGGGAGGGGCCCGAAGTCAAGGACAGCCCATCCACTCCCTTCCCACAGAACCACCCGCCCCCCCCCCCACCGCCATCCCCTGCCTCCCCTGTTCTTGTTGTCACACTGTCTTCCCACTCTCTCCTATCTCCAGGCCTGACCGCCCTTCTCTGGTCTCTGAGAGAGGAAGACAGTCTCTGCAGGCTGCATGCCTTCCAGAATCTTCATTCAACACTGAGGGGAGTGTGCTTCTGATTGGTGTATATTGACTTGGTCTGTGAAAAGGAAGATAGAAACAAAAATATACACAAAACAACCAGTTAATTTTTTGTTTTTCTTTTTTTTTTTTGAGATAGAGTCATGTTCTGTCACCCGGGCTGGAGTGCAGTGGCACAATCTTGGCTCAACCTCCACCTCTGGGGTTTAAGCAATTCTCCTGCCTCAGCCTCCTGAGTAGCTGGGATTACAGGTGCCTGCCACCATGCCTGGCTAATTTTTGTATTTTTAGTAGAGACGGGGTTTCACCATGTTGGCCAAGCTGATCTCAAACTCCTGGCCTCAAGTGATCTGCCCGCCTCAGCCTCCCAAAGTGCTGGGATTACAGGCATGAGCCACCACATCTGGCCACCTGCTTAATCCTTGTCATATAATCCTGCCCCGTATCTATGTATTTGTTTAGTTGCCATTTGACACCTGTACCAGGCTGAACAGTGCTCCTCCCTCTCCCTCAAACTCATGTTCAACTGGAAGCTCAGAGTGTGACCGTTTTTGGAAATAAAGTCTTTGCAGATGTAATAGTTAAGATGAGATAATATTTAATTAGGTTGGGCCCTAAATCCAGTATGACTGGTGTACTCAGAAGAAGAGAAAGATCTGGCCAGGCAGCAGTGGCTCACACCTGTAATCCCAGCACTTTGGGAGGCTGAAGTGGGAGGATCACTTGAAGCCAGTAGTTCAAGATCAGCTTGGCCAACCAACAAGGTGAAACCCTGTCCCTACTAAAAAACTCAAAAATGAGCCAGGCAAGGTAGCAGGCACCTGTAATCCCAGCTACTCAGGAGGCTGAGGCAGGATAATTGCTTGACTCAGGTGGTGGATGTTGCAGTGAGCCAAGATCACACCACTGTACTCCAGCCAGGGTGACAGGGAGGAAAAAAAAAGGCCGGGTGTGGTGACTCACACCTATAATCCCAGCACTTTGGGAGGTCAAGGTGGGAGGATCAAGAGGTCAGGAGTTTGACACCAGCCTGGCCAATATGGTGAAACCCCATCTCTACTAAAAGTACAAAAATTAGCCAGGCGTGGTGGTGGGCACCTGTAATCCCAGTTACTCAGGAGGCTGAGACAGAAGAATCGCTTGAACCCAGGAGGTGGAGGTTGCAGTGAACTGAGATCATGCCACTGCACTCCAGCCTGGGTGACAGAGTGAAACTCCAGCTCCAAAAAAAGAAAGAAAGAAGAAGAAGAAGAGAAAGATCTGGATACAGAAACCTAGACACATGAAGACAGAGGCAAAGACTGGGATGAGGCATTGTTTAGCCAAGGAAGATGGAAGTTAACAGCAGCCGCCAGCAGCAGCAAGGCTGGGAGGGACCCCCACCAGAGCCTTCACGGGCAGCATGGCCCTGATGACACCTAACTTCAGACTCCTGGCCTCCAACAGGTGAGAGAAAAAATGTCTGGTGTTTGAAGCTACGCAGTTTGCTGTAGTTACGGCAGCCACATAATGAATATATGCCCAGTAAGACCCTTAAGAACCTGGAGGGCAGGACCCACGTCTCTTGTGTTCACTGTTGAATCCCCAATGCCTGGTGCATAAATGGTCCTCAACAAGCCTTTGTTGAAGGAAGGAGCCTAATCCTGAGCAGGGAGACTGAAGCAAGAGGGAAGCACACAGACTGACCAAGCTGCTCAGTCCCACGGAGAAAAACAGCAGCAGGAGAGGAAGAAACTGCACTTGGCCTTTCCTTCCCCGTCTCGCTCTCAGATGCTGAAATGACTATTTTTGGTGAATGCAAATCATAGCTGTGGCCAGTGTCTTCAGTCGGAGGCCACAAGTGCACACGCTGAGCCAGGGTTACAGTCACAAGAGTTTATTTTTAAAGTGACCACGCCTGACCTTCAGGCTCGGAGGCTGCAGACTCAGACTTTCCTGGTCAGGGCCACCCCAGGGTGGCCAGCCATTCTCAGCAGAGAAAAGCCACATGTTCCAAAATGGAAAAGGCGCTCAGCCTTCCTTCTCCACCGCAGCTAAGGAATACCTTCCCCTCCCATCTGTCGCCTACACGCTGACCGCTTTCTGGCGCGTTTAACACCCACAAATCACATCACAAGCTGTTGCTCTTGGCTTGCAGCTCCAGTTTCTTGAATTCAATTATAAGTACGAGCATGCTGTGTAGCCCACAGGGTGCGGCCGCTGGGAGAATGCTCTCCCATGAAGGTGGAGAGTTCCCTGACCCCTTGATCATCCCCAGAAGGGACAGGAAAGCATTCTTCAGAACTGCTGGATTTTTTTGTTGGTCTTAATTGAGCCACAAGTAAGCATTAGTCAGCTGTCCATAGGTACAACATAGGTTGTCAAAGACCAGGATTCTCTCATGTCTCAGAGGTTCTCCGGGTCCCAGCTGAAGAACACCTTCATCTGGGCGGGGTGGCTTATGCCTGTAATCTCGGGGCTTTGGGAGACTGAGGTGGGACGATTCCTTGGGCCCTTCAGTCTGAGCAACATGACAAAAGCCCATCTTTACAAAAAAATACAAAAATTAACTGCGTGTGTGGCATATGCCTATAGTTCCACCTACTTGGGAGGGTCTCCTGAGCCTTGGGAAGTCAGGGCAATAGTGAGCCATGATCGTGCCACTACACTCCAGCCTGGGCAACCTAGCAAGTCCCTGTGCCAAAAACCTAACCAACCAACCAACCAAACAAAGAACGCCTTCCTCAAAGGCTCGGTTAGGATTGGGAAAATTGTGTTAACCTGGCAGGACTCAAGGTAACTTTTTTTTTCATTTCATAAATTGTATTTTCCTTATTTAATTTTTACACCAATAAAGAGGGGCTCTGGCACCTTCTGAACAAACAAATGTACATGTTACCCAACTATACCTGAGCTGGGCTTCCCTGGGGGCTCTGCACACTCACCCCACACCCACCATGAGAACTACTGCACCTGTGGCCTTACTGAAACAATGAACTGAAAGCTCCATGCCGCTGATTCAGAAATCAAGGAACTGTAGATTTCTTACTGAAGGTTTCTAAGGGAGGCAAAGAGGGGCATATACTACATCATACAGCACAAGTTGTTGTTTGTTTTTTTTTTTTTTTAAAGAAAGACAGGGTTTTGAGATCTTGCCCAGGCTGATATTGAGCTCTTGGACTCAAGCAATCCTCCTGCCTCTGCCTTCCAAAGTGTTGAGATTACAGTTGTGGGCCACCACGCCCAGATCTTTTTTAAATTTGTCTTTAAACATGCCTTTTACCCTAAAGTCTCACCCCCTGACAATGTTTGTTCCATCACTCACCCTCATCCTCAGCTTCCCTGTCCTCCTCCTCCCCTCTTTTCATGAACCTGTAGCCAGACAGGATCTCCTTCTAACTCCCTCCTCTTTCCAGCATCTTCCGTTGTGCAAGATTCCTTTAGCTGGGTATCTCCTGCGGCTTCTCTTGCAGAGAGTAACTCTGCCTTCTTTTAGCTTTTCTGATTCTCCTCTCTACCCATCACCCCACACGACCCAACAGCTGAGTCTGCTGAATGAGAAGATGCTCTTCCTTCCTAGAAAGCACGTGGTTCTCCATCACAGGCAGAAACCTTTGGTGGATAGAAACAACCACACCTTGTGTTGACATATAGGACGCCAGAGTGGTCCGGGCTGGTCCCAGTGATGTTAGAGAGCTGGAGGAGGTGAGGGGTCGGGTGGGGGAGAGGAAACGGGAAATGTCCAGGACTTCAGTTCCAATCTCATAAGATCAAGGATTTATGAGAACCAATATGAGCTCATCCTTGTGGAGATGCATGAGACATAGTCATTGTCTTCAAGGAGCTTATGACTGGGGAAACAGAAATGAGGCATTCTAGAGCAAATGGGACGTGCCATGTGCTAAGTGCCCAAAGAGTTCATAAGAGGGCAGGTGGGTGCAGTCTGGAGAAGTCTCAGGAAGCTACAAGGACAGGTCGAGAAGGACAGGTCAAGTCTAACCAAGTGGAGGTGGGGGAGCAGGCATCCCATTCAGGAGAACCTGTGTGAACAAAGACTTGGGGGTAAGAGGCGGGAAACGGAAAGGAAAGCCACGTGGTGAGTGATGGATTTCCCCAAGCACATGCCTAAACCAGTCCCATCGCTTTAAAGTGGGACTTGAACAACATCCCTCCTTCAAATTCTCTCCTTCCTAGCTTTAGAAAGGCTATGGCGTAGTGGACCGGCAGGCAGCCCGCCCTGCATTTACTGAGGACTGAGGCTCCAAAGACTATTTTTAGGTTGGTTGATTGAATCTGGGCATGCATTTTCCCACAGAAATAAAGTTGTATGTGGTGATTAGCAAAGGCGCAGTGAGACTGAAGTACGTGCGCGTTGGGGGTGGAGGTGAGGGTGAGGGTGGTAATATGCTGATTAGTTTCACATAGATGTGGTAAGCAGGCCTTAAGCAAGTAAGAAACTTCATGAAAAATTGATATTTTTTAAATGGCTCATTTCCTTTTTTTCTTTTTCTTGAGATGGAGTTTCGCACTTGTAGCCTAGGCTGGAGTGCAATGGCACGATCTTGGCTCACTGCCACCTCCGCCTCCCAGGTTCAAGAGATTCTCCTGCCTCCGCCTCCCAAGTAGCTGGAACTGCAGGCACCACACCTGGCTAATTTTCTGTATTTTTAGTAGAGACAGGGTTTCACCATGTTGGCCAGGCTGCTCTCGAACTCCTGCCCTCAAGTGATCTGCCCGCCTTGACCTCTCAAAGTGCTGTAATCCCAGCCTCAAATGGGTCATTTTAAAAAGTCATCACATTTCTACAATATTCCGTGGGAAGTTGGTAGAATGGATCTCGGGGGCTACACTGAGTTAGGCTCCTAGACTATCCTAGAAGTGCTAGCGGTGACCCTGAACTCTGTAGTCCAAAGCTCAGGTGTCCAGAACCAGAAGCATGAGGCTTGCTGGGCTTCAGTCACACAGCAGTGGAGGGGAAACTTGAGGCTTCACTGAATGGGGTCTGGGATGAGTCTAACATCTTCAGAGCACAGAATGTCCTTGACATCTTGGCAACCATCAAGGCCAGGTGGCTAATCCGTGAGATTGAGCACAGTAGCTAGAATCCAGGTGGGAGGAAATAAACAAAGGCAGTCAGGTGGCTGGGGTGCAAATCAGAAAAGTTCATTCCTGTCCAGCAGGATGTCAGACACTCTCTAGTGGGTTTGGAAGCAGCATCTAATCATCTAAGGAAAGGTCTGGAAGAGCTTGAGATGGTGTTGGGCTCCAAACAGCTGGCTGAGATCCAGGAGCAGACTTAAAGCTGTGTAGGGAAGTTGATACAGAAACCTAGAACTCTGAGCTGAACTATCATGGCAGGGGTCTATATAGAATGGTAGGATTTGGATAGTCCATGTGTACCCAAAAACTAACTAACTAACTAACTTCCTTCCTTCCTTCCTTCCTCCCTCCCTCCCTCCCTCCCTCCCTCCCTCCCTCCCTCCCTCCCTCCCTCCCTCCCTCCCTCCCTCCCTCCCTCCCTCCCTCCCTTCCTTCCTCCCTCCCTCCCTCCCTCCCTCCCTCCCTCCCTCCCTCCCTCCCTCCCTCCCTCCCTTCCTTCCTTCCTT